TGTCGCACGTACTGGGAATCAGATCTCCGATTTTGCTACCACTCCAAGTTTTCGTGACTGATTTCTGTTTTATTTATTCGAGTTTATCTACATTGAGTGAATTCTCAGTGATGTGATACGACATAGTTTGGCTTTGGACCTACATGGTTAGCTCAAGGGGCGCCTGGGGTAGCTAATGGCCCCTCTCCACGCTGCCTATTTCAATGGCGCCTGCGAGTCGATCGAGCCCTTTCTGTTGAATGACTGAGGGTTGTGGATGAGAGTGATGTATAAAGCACACCTGACCAAGTATCACTAAGGTACCAGTTGTCTGAGAAAAATGTGTGCAATCATCCATCTGGGTCGGACTTGCGGAATGCGATGCGAAAGTTCTGTGAACCAGAAAAGTAAAAGCCGTGTGTCTTGAGCTCAGACGGTTGATAGCCCCAAGGAATTCACGATCATCAAATCCATTCGAGATCTATCATTTATCTGAGTATGTCGAAAGAAGGAGGAGAAGTCATCGTGATGAGCAGAAGCAGATATGATTGACAAGCCAGCGGCTCTGGTTCACAGGACACAACTACAGCGACATCTGCCATCTGAACTTGACGGGGAAATCGTGTTTGTGAAACAAATAAATTGTATGGGGAACAACGGATGGGGTGCGAGGAAAGTACTAGAGAATTGAATTAATGGCAATGATTCGTGATGCAGTGAGTGGAAGCCCAGATGGCTTATAAGGCAACGAGTCTTCCTGGTCATCACCATAAATATTACTCATCTGGGCTATCCGTGTGAATGGAGTGCGAGGCGCTGGTTCGCGGGGAGTCAGAACATATCTCAGAGGAATGTTCACAGAAGATGTTTACCTTGCGTTAATGAGGTAAAGCAGTCTCGCAAGAAGAGATGGCACGTGAAAGATGAGCGCAAAGTATGGCAGTGAAGACGACACTATAGGACCATCGTCCCAAGTAAACTCGTTTTGCGCAGGGAGCAATTGCGTGAAAAAGGGCAGATAGTGGATCCGAGGGACCGAGTCCGATGACGATGGTAACAAGTTAATATTTAGGAGATCATGAGGGCGCAGGCGGCGTTGCTGTCGACATTGCAACATAAGACACTCTAAATAGGGAACCGTGATGCATGATGGAAGGTGCAGATCACTATCAGATCGGAAATTGAGTTGTGAGATCCAGCTATATCAGCATGCTGGCTAGCTAGTAATATGTGGGATACTTGCATGTGGATTTGAATCCGGTCGGTGCAAAGAGAGGATTATTAATTTGGATGAGTGGTATTGTGATCTCGTATTGGTGATATAGCTAACGATCTGGATAATAGCTTGTGGACCAGGTGAACGGGGAATGATTATATCTATGGCATGAAGGAGGCTTTTAATTATGGAGGCGGTCGCCCTCTGATACGCGTGCGCCTCACTGCCACCGAGGCTGAGAGAAATCACATACTTAGTACTACTTAGAGCTTGTTGCACGCGACCTTGAGATCCGTGTACAGTCCTATTCTAGGTCCAGATAAGAAAAAGGTCGTGGGAAAGTCAAAAGTTCACCTCTTTCACAAGCTATGCACCCCGTTCGTGCTTCCCCACGGGCATCGTCGACGTTCCATCGCATCTTCCAGTATCCCGAACGTTCTCCAACCGGTATCGGGTCTTAATATCAAGATCACAATATTAATACCAGTCATACTGGCATAACTCTATCCCACAACTCAATTCCCGATCAGATAGCAATCTACATTATGGAACGTTGAACCGTCTTTTTTGCAAACGCCGCCCGCGCCCTCATCTTACTTACTACCATCACCATTACACTCGCATCCACTCTCTATCCTTTTGCACGTAATTACTCCCTGCGCAAAACGAGTTGACTTGGGACGATGGTCCCATAGTGTCACCTTCACTGCCACACTTTGCGTTCATCGTTCAACTTCCACAAGCTACGCACCCCGTTCGTGTCTCCCCAAGGGCATCGTCAACGTTCCATCGCATCTTCCAATATCTAGAACGTTCTTCAACCGGTATCGGGTCTTGATGTCAAGATCACAATATTAATACCAGTCATACTGGCATAGCTCTATCCCACAACTCAATTTCCGATCAGATAGCGATCTGCATTATGGAACGTTGAACCGTCTTTTTTGCAAACGCCGCCCGCGCCCTCATCTTACTTACTGCCATCACCATTACACTAGTACTCGCATCCACTCTCTGTCCTTTTGCACGTAATTACTCTCTGCGCAAAACGAATTTACTTGGGGCGATGGTCCCATAGTGCCACCTTCACTGCCACACTTTGCGTTCATCGTTCAAACGTTCACACGTGCCATAGATGCATACATCGATGATGTTGGAAATTACTCGGAGTTGCCAACATCACCGAGTGGAACTTTTCTGATGTTGCATTCGCGTGCATGATATTGAGGTTTGCAATTCAAAATCAACTTTGATTCAATCTCATCGGAGTTCCGCTTTTTGCTCAATTTCGCACCGCAATACTTACTTCAATTAATCAAGGGTCCTGAGGCGGGCTCAAATATCCATCGCCATTATGCCAATGTGGGTGATACAAGCGCTGAATGGCGGTATATCTAGCACGAACACTATATCGTTATAACCCCCAACATCCCCCACTCGCTCACACCCATCTCTCGAATATGACCGTTGTCTCAAATAATCCCAGTTGGTGGCCGTTCATCAGTTTGTCTCTTTTTTTCAGCTATTGGACGGGTTCGTCATATCAGCTGGTGATGTCTCGATCTAACCTTGACTCACGTTTTGCAGTTGCCGCCGGTGTCGTGGTTGTATACGATTGGGGTAGGCAGAACAGTGTTCGAAAACCGCTTATAGTCTCATGATATTTCCAGTGCTGACACTCGGACAAGAGGTAAGTCGGTGCTATTGCCGGAGCAGCCAACTCGCTAAGATTGATGCTATAGATTGAACTGATCTGGGTGAGTACCAGAGTCTCATATCAGAAGAAAGACAGGTGAATAATGGATTCGCGACAGAGGCAACGCTGGTCTCTTATGACTGTGCTGTATCTCCTTGTTCGTATCAAATGTCATTTTATAGCGTGGTTATGCTAAGTCCAAAATGTTCTAGACACGCTATATTGGAATACCATATTCTGTGTACGTTTTTAGGTCAAAAAGTCGGTGCTGTACTAATGGCCCATCTCTCACAATTAGTGCTAACATTCTGCGTATGTCTCGTGCACTGTGTTTGATTCTTCTGACGGGTGTCACACAGTAAATATGCCGTTGGTCTCGGTGACAGATACAGTGAGTATTCTGCAACCATCTCATTCCCATCCCATGAATACACTCATGTGCAGGGGTGAGTGAGATTCTGAACACTGAACTTGGCCCAACATAATGACTCACTAGGTGTTAGTCAAGTATTTGATCTTAGCACAAAGGCGGTCACTAATCGGGTGTTTCAGGCAATATTATGAACTACGCATTAAATGGGACAAATGTGATCGTACCTGCTATGTTGGGCGGTGAGTTACCCAGCGGCAATACCTCAGTGATATTGACTCGACTGAAACATGATGCAAGTCATCATGACTACTCGGTTATATGCCATGTACCAGAGATCTAAAATCATCCTTATCTTCCTTGTTATTATCTTCCTGGTTGTTAATATCACCTGTGGAGTAATCGTTGCAATAGTACTCAAGGGCACTGTAGGGGGTAAGCTTTACTTTGTTGACTTGAAAAACAAAGCTCATTGGATAAACACTAGAGGAGCTGATACTCTCTGGCACGTATATGTGCACGTATATACATCATAAGAAGCATGCCTCGCTTCTGGTCGCGATGATTTGGATGCTCGACATTATTTGGGAGGTCCTAGCACTATGCCTTTCAGTCTGGATCACTGTAAAACACTTCTGTGACCTGCGACGACTCGATTCATCGACAGGATCAACCATCGGGGACTGTTTCAAAGTGCTGACAAAATCTCACGTGCTTTATTTTGCATGGTGAGCTTATAACGTGAATGTAGCTATCTTTTTCTGATCAAGTTCCGCATGTGCTAGCTATGCTGGTGTCTCTTGCCTCCAACTTGGTTATCAATCTCCAGAGTTCGAGGTGCGCTGACCCATCGCTGACATCTGCTTGTAACTACTGCTCATCATTTCTGTAGAAATCGAATTCTAATATTGAAGGTCAGACACTCCAAGGTGGTCTTCAGATTTTATTTGGCATACAGTTGTTTGTGCTGGGACCACGCCTCATCCTTAGTGTTCGAGAATATCACACTAAGCTCGTGGCCCAATCCGACGCAGAAACTAGCATGAATTCGATTGTCTTCCAGGAGCGTGTGCATGTACCGACGAGCGGCACTGTGTAGAGAAATGCTTTCCGAGTGTTCTGCATGGAGGAGATATTTGGTCGAGGATCCGTAATGGTGTTTATTTAAGTTGAAATTTTTCAAAGACGAGGTTTATGTAGACATACTCATTTCTTGTTGTATCAACCGTACGCCCACACTTGCACCAAGTGGCGAGCTGAAATTATCGTTTGGGAACCAACCCAGTCCTTATGCCCAACTGAGATGCAACGAGAATCGGTATGACAGTTGATTCGACACGTATACAGAGTTCCGCTGTCTGAGCTCACAGATGATGAAGGAATGACCGCGAAGCATGAAGCCCAGATGACTGATAGCTCATTAATCTGGGATGCGTTTGAATCCATCTGGGCCACGGAGAATAAAAAGGAATGAATCGCGCGAACTCATGGCTCGACTGTATAGCTCTACTACGAATGAGCATAGCAAGGAGATGAGGTATGCTGAGCGGGGAGTAGCGAATTCGAGAATGAGAGCTTCAATTCAGAAGGCTTCAAGTGCACCTGTCAGACTATTATTAATGAGGCATCGACCACGATATTCTGAAATTGCATGTATGCACACATGCACGCATACGTTGATGATCTCTACCGCAGACACGTGAAAATCAAAACCGACAAGACCCACTCCCTTCCGGTAGTGAGAATTTAGTGCAGATCGACTGATGATTCCGACTCCGCGGAGCCAAGCGTGATGTCCGCGACCTTGATACCAACCATGAGTTCCAATTGCCGATCTGCCTCAACAAGACTGCAGCATAAAGAAACCATATAAGCAAATAGAAAGGGAAGGGGCTTTGAAACTTCGTCTGGAAGTATTATGTCAATTTCTCAAAGACCACATGCCATCCTTGACGCGGTCAGCCGTTTGAAACCCCCTAATTACTTCTGGAGCTTGACGACACGGCCATCCGGGGTTGTAAAAGTTGCTTTTCCGGCCCCGTTGTCGTAGTATTTGGACCCGTTTGAGTTCTCATAGTAAAACGAGCCATCTCTGAAGGAAAACGGGTGAGGAACGGATTGCTCAACGCAGCGAGACAGACGAACTTGTTAGAGTAATGGTGACCAGTACCACTGCTCCCATAATCACGCGTGCACCAGTGATTGCCCTAAGGACAGGGATGTCATGTCAGTTACTTACGCATAACGGTAAACAATGGGCGCCTACCTCCTTGTTGGTGCCGTGCCCAGTAACGACGTAGTCGCGATCTGTCATAGTGAGCTCAGAGTATGAGTTGTACTAGGAAGATGACTTTGTTGAGGAGATCAGTGATGGTCTTACGAATGAAGAGAGGCAAGGACTACGAACGGGAAACGAACTCAGTCTTGGATCAAAAGACTGAGGGAAATGATTCGAGAGGAAATGAATTAATACGCTGATTGAGACGGAGAATCAAAGGTGAGCGTGTAAGAGGCGTGCAACGAGAAGTGATTTCGTATGTAAGATAAAAGGATGAGTACGTACAGTAGTGACATCAATAGTCATATCTTAATAGATAGCACTTTCGAGAATTCAGCGGGAGTGCTGCTGTTTATCATGGGTTACTGAGTCATGTCTTACACTCGTATTTGCTGGCATAGCCTCTTGGTCACCTAGACGCGTCTTATCAGTAGTCTTAACTCAGTAAACCGCATGTCCCCAATATTTAAGGTCTGCTTACTACTACAATTGGCGCGGCTGGAATCTGATCAAAGAATGGGATTATTTCCGCCGGTTCTCACCATCTCAACTTATGAAGCCGAGAAGAGACCATGCTAGTGATGCAATTGATGGATGGTCCGATAGTCGAAGATAAGACCACCGCGCAATGTGCGATGAAGAATAAACTGGGGTAGAACGTGGTTTGCATGCGTCTGAGGCCGTAGACTCATCGATGCAGTAGGGGAACGAGAGTGAAAGGAACTTCATCAGCTGAACGATAGCACCTGGGCTCAATAGGATTCAGTGTACTTCGGCTCTGAGAGCGACACCAGATTCCTCAACCAACAGTAATGATTCAGGCAGGCCCATCGACGTATCAAGCAATATTCATGCATTCACCATCACCGACATTTGCCAGAGTAACGACGTCGATCGAAGCAGTAAGGACAAAAAAGAAATGTACATGTGAGGAATTCCGGATTTGCTCAAGAACCTGACAAACTGCGTCAGAAACTAATTTCTATACTATTAGAATAGGCAATTCACCTAGAATCACTTCGAGGAACCGTTAAATTTATGAGTGTCCCCGCTGGGAGTAGTGTACTGCGAGTACCCTGTGCCACTGTTGTAGTAAGTGGACCCGTTCGGGTTGCTGTAGTAGTAGCTCCCGTCGGTGTCGTATAATCAGCGCCGCCGGTCAACAAACATTGAAAACATACGTGTTGGAATAGTGATATCCTGAGCCGCTGCTACCGTAGTCGCGAGAGCAGTAGTGATTGCCCTACGAAAAGCGTGATCTTGTCAATCACCGCCCCTAACTCGCATGACGGGCGCTTACCTGGTCATTAGTACCATGACCAGTGTACGTGTAATCTTTTCCGTTGCTAGACATCTTGAACGTATAAGAAGATTATTGGTAGTGGAAGATGCAAGGTGGGTAGTGCACTGGTGAAAGACGAGCTAGCGGCAGTCCTTTTATCTGGTAGTGTTATTTGTTGAATTTTGTCCTTTGTTTGTTTGAACTTTGTCGATAAGTATATTGAGTCATGCTTAGTGACAAATCTTTTATCAAAAGTGACCACGTCACACGACCAACAGATGAAATGCAAGGCTAGTGAGTTTAGTCCAAGTGATATCGATGAGTGGGGCATAGGCGGTGCATTATACGTGTCATGCAAGATTGGGAGGACAGTCGGCGCTATTTTGAACGTGGGGTCAGGAAGCTTATCTAATTATACTTTAGAGTTTGTACCAGTCTCCGAGACGGCGTAAGTGATATGCCTTTTTGGGTGTCATGCATGTAATTTGCCTGACCCAATCTGCATGCTACGTCTGTTGAGCAGCAACCATGGACTTCTCAAAACTTTTTTCAACACTCTCGTTGACTGGTGAGGATATTCCTCCTCGCTCTACGACGCGCCCCGCAGGCAAACCAAAATTTGTAAAGTTTCTCCCTGGAGATAATGGCGAAGGCATGCCAGAGATTTTTTTTGAGGGTGAGTGGTTTAACTCTTTTGAGGACGAGTCCTAAATATCCTTCTTCCAAGATCCTCGCACATACAAGCCGAAACCAGGTCCCCATGGGCAGATTCAGACCTGGGGTATATTTCCGGTATGTGCATCGCCTACCAGTAGTACCAATCCTTCGGAATCAGTTACATTGACATGTACAGTACCATAAGGATAATATCTGGGACTGTAAGCGACTACTCTGATTTTAGTAGATATTATATCCTGACTCTTCAAACTAGTCGATGGAATCCAAATGATGTATAGAACAGTAAGTTTGTAGGGATGGTTTGATCATCTTGCTTATTTGCCTTCAGATGGCGCACCAATTCTCATACGACAACCGCGGTGGAAAACCCTGGCCCGAAAAGCAATTCATGGATGTTCTAAAGGATCGTAAGGTATGTACGCTTGTAGGTGATTTTGTTCTCTCTCTGACTTGTTATTGTCCTCGCAGCGCGAGCAGCTCAGCAAACTTGATCTCGCAGACCTTGACAAGAAGGATATTGTAATCAAGATACACTTGAAGTATGTTTCCCGTATTAATGATACACCACCCGCTGATATCCTCTTCGAAGGTTCTTGCAGGATGCCAATGGCGACCATCGCATATGGCGCAGGGTCCGCCTCTCAGCTGGTATGAAGATAGGCGTGTTCCAGGACAAGGTCCTTTCGCCCGTTCTGAACTGGTACTTTTTTGATCGTCAGACTCCATATGTGCACTGACGCAATCGTTTTGTGTAGGGTACGAAACCTCCACTGCTACACGTTCACGGATCTCAGAGACGGTGCTGTGTTTGGTCCCGAGGTAAACTGAGCTGTTTCTGAACTATAGTCCATCTCTCATTACATACATAGGACGCCAACGCAACAGACATAATGCATATCAACCAGGCAAGTCGACTCAGGAAATATGTTTGGAGCTTCTGACATCTTGTCCCTAGGTTGGATATGATTACCTTCCGGATGACAAGTAAGAACATAATGTCACCGTGTCACGGGATTCTGATAACACTCAGGTATATGCTTGCTCATTTGTTTTCGAAAGTGGGTGATACATTTGGGCACTTGTATGACTATGGGGACAAGTGGTACCACGAGATCGAGGTACGGTCGAATATCTTGTTCCATATCGGATTGATTTTACGCCGATCAGATTGAGAAAATCTTCCCCCTCGAGGAATCATATGGACGTGTCCAGATACTCGATGGCAAGGGCAAGTGTCCAGGTGGTAAGCTACGTTTCTAATGTACGCAATGCTCCACTTATCAAACCGTCGTCCAGAAAATATGAGAGGGTCGTACCGATACGAAGACTTTCTCAAGGCCTACGACACTGATTCATACACCGAGCAGTAGGTTTTTTCTTTGATTCACTTTCCCTGTTGAAAATATCTCCAGGGTCAAGAAAAGACGTGAAATTCTTGATTGCCCAAATTACAAAGGCTTCGGCAAACCTCCTTCTCTGTTCGACATCGACGTCTTTGACATCGACCAGGCTAACGAGCGACTCATCGCAGCACTTAGTTCGCCCAACTCAGTCAGGGCAGGCATGAAGGCGTTCACTATGCCTATCAACCCCAGTGCAGAGGACTCCAGGACGGGCAAACTCAAGAAAGGCCAGAGCATTCAGCGCGAATGGGACTACGAGAGCCACGGATATTGGCAGGAGACGACGTCCAGCACGAAGGATAAAAGGAGCCAGTCGGCTTGTGCTGCTTGTGGAAAGCCTGGTGGTCAGGATCTTAAGACGTGCAGTGGTTGCAGGGCCATTTTGTAAGCGTTTCTGAACACACTGGGGTGATATGATGCTGAACAGGATGTCATCAAGGTATTGTTCTGCTGAGCACCAGAAGGTATGATCGAGGAAATTTTCCAAGTCTTGTTGCTGACGAGTACACTATCAAGGTACACTGGAAAGATGTACACAAGAAGCAGTGCTCTCGCAAGTACCTCAAAAAATGATACCATCCCATATTATTCCCAATGCTGATATATCATTCCTACATGAAACAAAGTATAATGTATATTTGCCGTATCTTATTTTCACACCCTTGTTTCGATCTCGACTTATCGCGGACCATGTGGATTTAGCTGGCGTGAAAAGATGCGGGTGAACCACCCTGTGCAACCCACGGCTGCTCGTGGAGGTCCGTCGACACCAACGGTAGTGGCTGATCAAGCAGCAACTTCGTCCTCGACACCGATGAATGACGCGCGAGTGGGAGGAATGGTCACAGGCGTTGTAAATTACGGTCAATGGTTGGAAAGCCGGACACTCGGGATCAGGGCCTAATTCCCCGAATCCCATTCCACTTTTGCTTGACTTCGTACCGCATTTACTTACTTCAACCAATCAAGGGCCTTGAGGCGGGCATAAACACCTATCACCATCATGCTGATCTTGGTGATACAAGCGCTGAACAGTGGTATATCTAGCACGAACGCTAAATGGTTATAACCCCCAAGTGACATCCCCCATTCGCTCATCAATCTCTCGAATATGACCGTAGTTTCAAATGATCCCAGTTGGTGGCCGTTCATTAGTTTGTCTCTTTCTTCAAGCTACTGGATAGGTTCGTCTCCTCAAGATGTCTCGATCTAATATTGACTTGCGGTTTCGCAGTTTCTGCTATTGTCGTAGTGGCATACGATTGGGGTGAGCAGGATAGTGTTCAAAAATCGCTGATATTCTCATGATATTTCCAGTGCTAATACTCGGACAAGAGGTAGGTTGATGTTATCCCCAAGCAGCCAACTCGCTAAGAATAGTATTATAGATTGAGCTGATCTGGGTGAGTGACAGTGTCCCATATCAGAAGAAAAGCAACAGAAGACAATGAATTCGGGGCAGAGGCAACGCTGGTCTTTGATGACTGTGCTGTATCTTGCTGTTCGTACCTCATAATATGCCATCGCGTGGTTGGCAGGTTGTGTTGACTTCAAAATGTTCTAGATACGCTATATTGCAATGCCATATTCTGTGTATGTTTTGAGGCCAACAAATTCAAGGTGCCCTACTGATAGCCCATCTCTCATTACCAGTATCACCGTTTTGCGTATGTCTCATATACACTGTGTTTGATTCTTTTGACTGGCGGCACACTGCATCTGTCAGCGAGACCAAAGACATATTGGTCTCGCTGACAGATGCAGTGAGTATTCCGCAACCATCTCATTCCTATCCAATGAATACGCTCATTTGTAGGGGTGAGCGAGATTCTGACCATTGAACTTGGCTCGACATAATGTCTCAATAGGTGTGAGTTGAGTGTTTGACCCTAGTACGAGGGTGATCACTAATTGGGTGTTTCAGGCAATATTGTGAACTACGCATTAAATGGGACAAATGTGGTCGTAGCTGTCATGTTGGGCGGTGAGTTACCTGCAGTACCTCAGTGATATTGACTCGACTGAAACATGATGCAAGTCATCATGATTGCTCGTTTACATGCTATGTATCAGAGATCTAGAATCATTCTTATCTTCCTTGTTATCATCTTCCTGGCTGTTAACATCGCCTGCGGAGTAATCACGATAATAGCACTCAAGGATACTGTAACGGGTAAGTACTAGTTGACTTGAAGAATATAGCTCATTGCACAAACACCAGAGGAATTGGTACTCTCTGGCATGTATATGTGCAATTATAGATATGATGAGGACATCCATCTTCTGATTGCAATGATTTGAATGCTCATCACTGTTTGGGATGCTTATGTCCACGACCGAACGAATGGAAAGCGAGGGGACTATGACTACCCTCTTGAATAATTTAAAAAATGCCAACGACTGTCTTCCTTCTCTTTTGGTCTGACTAGGGGAGACTAAGCCCACCACTCCGCCGTGAAATCTGTACTATATGTTTCGTAATCTCTTTAAATTTTTCTACGATACTGGCGATCGGGGACAGCTCGAGCTTAGCAGTGGTGTTCAAACGTGGATCGCCATCAGGCCATCAGCAGAATCCATATCTCGTTTAATCACATGTAGGTAAGTAGTCACCGTGATGTACGTATATCTAAGATCTGGTGTATGTAACCGCTACAGTACACGATTTACAATCAATGTGAAGGAAACTCAAAGGTGTATCCCGTCGCCATTCGCGTTCAATCATAATCATAATCACAACCCACCATTGTGGTGCATACCCGATCAACTCTGTCACGACATCCATTTGTTCCTCCTTCATGCAGGGTACTCAGCAAGCATTCCCTATACAGTACCGCTCGTTGGTACATGTACACGCTCTTGGAAGACAATTGAATTTATGCTAGCTTCTGCGTCGGAGTCGGCCACAAGGTTTGCGTGATATTCTCGAACACTAAGGATGAGGCGTGGTCCCAGCACAAACATCTGCACGCTACATAAAACTTGAAGAGCACCCTGGAGTATCTGAGTTCCAATAGAATTTGAATCCTACAAAATGATAAGCAGTGGTTACAAGCAGATGTCAGTGACAGGTCGGCGCACCACGAACTCTGGAGATTCATAACCAAGCTGGAGGCAAGAGACACCAACAAAACTAGCAAGCGCGGAATTTGAGCAGAAAAGATAAACACAATCACATTACAAGCTCACCTTGCAAAATAAAACACATGAGATTTTATCAGCACTCTGAAACAGTCCCCGATAGTTGATCCTGTCGATGGTCCAAGCCGTCGCAGGTCACAGAAGTGTTTCACAGTGATCCAGACTGAAAGACACAGCGCGAGGACCTCCCAGACAGTATTGAGTATCCAAATCATTGAATTCAGAAGCGAGACATTCCCCTCAGATCCATAAATGCACACATACGTGCCAGGGAGTATCAGCTCCTCTAGCGTTTGTCCAATGAGCTTCGTTTTTCAAGTTAACAAGTAAAGCTTACCCCCTACAATATCCTTGAGTACTATTGCGACGATCACTCCGCAAGCGACGTTAACAGCCAGGAAGATAATAACAAGGAAGATAAGCATCTTCCTAGATCTCTGATACATGGCATGCAACCGAGCAATCATGATGACTTGCATTATGTTTCAGTCGAGTCAATATTACCGAGGTATTGCAGCTGGGTAACTCACCGCCCAACATGGCAGCTATGACCACATTTGTCCCATTTAATGCATAGTTCATAATATTGCCTGAAACACCCGATTAGTGACCACCTTTGTACTAGGATCAAATACTTGACTAACACCTAGTGAGTCATTATGTTGAGCCAAGTTCAGTGTTCAGAATCTCACTCACTCCTACATATGAGTGTATTCATTGGATAGGAATGAGATGATTGCGGAATACTCACTGCATCTGTCAGCGAGACCAATGTCATATTTACTGTGTGCCGCCGGTCAGAAGAATCGAACACAGTGCATGTGAGACACACCCAGAACGTTGATACTGATAATGAGAGATGGGCCATTAGTACAGTACCAACATTTTGACCTCAAAAACCTAGACAGAATATGGTATTCCAATATAGCGTGTCTAGAACATTTTGAAGTTAGCATAGCCACACTATAGCATAAGACGTGGTACGAACAAGGAGATACAGCACAGTCATGAGAGACCAGCGTTGCCTCTGTGGCGAATCCATTATATTTTCCTGTTTTTCTTCTGATATGAAATATGTTACTCACCCAGATCAATTCAATCTATAACACCAGTCTTAGCGAGTTGGTTGCTCTGGAAATAGCACTGACCTACTTCTTGTCCGAGTGTCAGTACTGGAAATATCATGAGAATATCAGCGGTTTTCGAACACTGTCCTGCTCACCCCAATCGTATACCACCACGACGCCAGCGGACACTGTGAAACCGTAAGTCAATGTTAGATCGAGACATCACTAACTGATACGACAAACCCGTCCAATAGCTGTAAAAAATATTTGAGCTTGGCCACCAATTGGTCATATCCGAGAGATTGGTGTGAGCCTCGAGTGGGGATTTTGGGGATTATAACCGGCGTCTAGTATTCGTGCAAGATATACCACCTTTAGCGCTTGTATGATACGCCAAAATCGGCATGATGGAGATGGATATTTGATCTCGCCTCAAGACCCTTGATTAGTTGAAGTATTGCGGTGCAAAAGTGGAAGTAGGAGATTAAATCAAAGTTGATTTTGATTTGCAGTCGGACCAGTATCATGCACATAAATGCAACATTAGGAAAGTTCCACTCGTCGGTGATGTTAGCAACACATTTCCAACACCATCTTCGGGGTGTTCTTTCTGCACTTGCATAAATTGAAGAGTTCCGTTTGAAATCATGTACTAGTCACATCGACCTACTAGTTGATGTTACACTGGTCTAAGCGTGACGTAATTGCAACAAGCATGTGTACTCTCTCGGCCTCGGTGGCCAAGCTTCAAGCCAAGCCTGAGGCGGGGCTCTCCCAACTACTAGTACTCTTAAAGAACAAGGTCCCGTTCATGCCTTTGGCAATCATTATGTAATTATCTTAGATACTTAGAGCGTCTTGTTTATACAACGCCGCCCGCGCGGCGCCCCGATCGTGATCTCCTGAATATTAACTTACTACCATTGTCATCGCAAGTACTTGCACCCACTTTCTGCCCGTCTGCGTATATTACTTCCTGTGCAGATGAGTTTACTTGGGACTGTAGTGTCGTCTTCAACTGCCACATTTACGTTCATTATTCCATTTCTTGTCGTATCTAGGCTTTACCTCATCAATACAAAGTACTGCCACAGATTGTGTGTCGGATCTGTGTCCTTGCAATAGTTTGTTGGTGTCCCACCCTGCTAAGCACGATTGTCAGAGTCGAGTACTGATCGAGATACACATCATAATTATTTAAGTTCTTCCCCGAATCCGATATTCAGCGATTACTAGGGACAGCTTACAAGCTTAGCGCTTAGCAGTGGGTTCAATTGCAAAACATGGATCGCCGTCAAGTCAGGCCGCATCCATATCTCGTTTAATCACATGTAGGCAAGTAGTCACCGTGACGTACGTGTATGTAACTGCTACAGTACACGATTTACAATCAATGTAAAGGGCTCAAACTCAACGACGTATCCGGTCGCCACTCGCGTTCAATAATCATAATCACAACCCACCCACCATTGTGGTGGATACCCGATCGACTCTGTCATGATATCCATTTGTTCCTGCGTAGGACGCTCTTGAAAGGACTCGTCTAGTTCAGAGCACACAGTGAACACCGGAACGATGTCAATTTTAACGGCCCTAAGTTCCTCGCTGCCGGATTTGAAGTATTTGGCCATATCCGCTTCGAACCACAGAGGAAGAACCGAGTCATCCTTGGGATTGAAACAACATTTGAAATCGAACGACCAGAAGCCCGACCGAGTCGAAATGAGCTCGCGTCCTCGCATCATGGCGTGGAACTCGTAGGATTTGTGACCACGTTCGAGCAACACTTCTGGACATTCTTTCTCCGCGAAACGGATTAGCCACTCATTGGGGATTGCATATCCGTAGTGCTGGATATAAGGACGACCTATGATCGGATTGATGTGCGACTGCTTTGGTGGACGGACAAGTTTGAATGGCTCGGGTTGTTGCTTGACGAGTTGACTCGCGGAAGTCCCAGTTTCTTGGGCTGTTGTGGTCTTCAAGTCGTTAGAGTGACGGTCACGACGAGGAGAGAAGATATTCATCGTTGCGGCTTTGAACAACTTGGAAAGAGAAGAAGGCATGTTCGTTATGGATAGGTGACGACAAGTCTCTACAGCCTTATATAAGGTGTCGAACAAAGGGGACTGAAGTGGCACGTTATGTTTGTGGTTTGTACAACGGAATGGAACAGCGAGTTTTGGACAAAAGGTCACAGCTAACAGTGGGCTAATATTTCTAACTAGTAGTGACTAGGGATGCAATTTGTTAGAACAGAGTGACGACTACTGTGGACACTTACCGAAACCCACGATTGTTTTGCAGCGGTTATCCAGGATAATAGACAATGCATGGACCAGTGGATGTACACAGAACCACGCCTTTGTGCGCATGCGCTATCTCGATGGCGAAATCTTTTGCTCTGAGTATGCTGCATAGTAACCCCGCTTTATGACGGTTGCCACAGCACATTCTCAGTAGCAGCAAAAGAACTGTAGCACTTGAATGAATGTGGTGTAATAGACCCTGCATGCTCAAGCACTTACTCAAAGACAACTCTCGATTTCAGCTGAGGTGTGATAGAGTGGACACGTTCGTTCTGTAAAGGCTCAACAGCACACGTAGAATAATAAACGCGCTTGAGATCAACAATTTCCTAATGGGAGGGTTTGTTGACGTGGATGCATTGTATTTCTGGTTAAAAAGTGTGAGATGGTTTGTACTAGTCAAGAAACGTTATGCATTGCGTAGCAGACAGTATTAGCACATGGCGATAATGACACATGGTAAATCAAACAACAAGAGGTCTGGCCGTGTTAATAAATTACCATGGCAGATAGGAGAACAAGGATGAACGGGATAGAAGAAACAACTCAAAAGATGGAGAAAGATGGACGATGAAATAAATAGGTGCATCCAGCGGATGACTGATTTGATTCCCAAAAGTGACAAAGAGTTTATGATGCTTCTCCAGCAGGGCTAGTGAACAACGTAAAAGAAATCATTATGGACGAAAATCCAACAGAAGGTCATGATCCAACCGTAAATGAAGAAATGGGGAGTGTTAAAGATAGATAGCAATGATAATTTCCTAATTTCGAACCTTGATGCCCGATATTGATGAGTCCATGCCTTGCGGATAATATCAAAAACCAACAACAAGTGGGATAGATTGCAGCGCCGTCGTCCAGCCGGGTCGAGTGGTAGATACAAGGGAGTCTGTTCTTCATGTTGATACATCAGGGATTCCGCATGATTGATGAAGAATGAATGCGTCATGGAAAGTGCGTTAGACGTGAAGGAGCCAATCGAGGACGGGAAAGATAAATCAAGTGCTTGCGAGGTCGATACTAGCACCGAGGACGCCGCCCCTGTCATGATGGATGTCAGTGAAACCACTGACGGTGCCATGAGTGCCTTGATAGTGGTGCCGCTGCTGCTCTTCTTCAAAAAGCTTTCTGCCGACGTCCGCACGCAGGTTAGCACTCAGACCAGATTTGAGAGATACTGCTGCACGCGGCGCGGCCGTGACGGCAGGGGAGGGAGAGACATTGATAAAGTCATTGAGATTGAATGGGACATTGCCCGGAGTGGGTGGGGCGTGAAGGCTGTTCGATGGCGAACCCGAATAACCGTTCGAAGTATCACTGTGCCTAGAAGGTGAAGGTGGAGATGGCAACAATGATGAGGATTCAGCACCTAAAGTTGGGGCGGGTGGAATAATTGTTGACTCTAAAGATGGCGCAGGCGCGAGAGATCCAGAGGAAGCGGCATCCAATCGCAATGGCTGGCTCAAAGGCTGCGTACTATCTTGGCTAGATGGTAAAGTCTCTGAGGTAAAGCTGCGCTCTGATCTCAGCGAGCTTCTGGTGTCCTGGCCTGCAAAAAGGATCTTTCCCTTAGTAAGGAGAGATGCGGAACCGCTTCCAAGGGCTCTGTAGGCTGCAAGATCTTGGGTATCCCTGTCCCGGGTGGTTGTAGGGCGTGCGGGCGAGGGCGATGTATGTAGATAAAGCATAAGTTTGGCCGCCTCCTCGTCATCTGCACGAGGCGTCGAATAGATATTGTCACCTGAGTCACGGGGTGGAGTAGCTGCCCGAGGCATGGTAAATGATGACTCGGCTGATGGCAGCAGCGAAGTCGCTGCTGTCGTTGTGCGAGCAGAACTTTGTGCATATTGCGACAAAGACTGGAATGAACTCGCATCAGACGCGGTAGAGAGCGTGGACCGCGGAGATGACACGCTAGTTACGGAAGGACGCGACTGGAGAAGCGATGTCAGAGTGGCTACGGCCTGCCTCTCTACATCCGCCGAGTCCGCCACGGACGCCTTTTGCTTGCCCTTGTCAGCCCGTTTGGGTTTGGACCGGGTGACATCCTCCTTGCGGCTACGGGACTGCGCACGGGTACTCTCTGCTATGCTGCGTATGGCAGACGCACGGTCTGATCCTCGGGACCGAGATCCGGCAGTCGAGCGAGCGGCTGCTTGGACAGGAGGATCTGTTGAGTTGCGAACAGTTCGAGCTTGTTTCAACGGAGGAGGTCCGAGGAGGGTGGTGAACAGGCTCTGAGTCGCGTTGGGACTAGAACCTGTCACAGTCGTGGGATAGTGGGAACGAGGAACGGATGGGGAAGAAGTCGCAGATATGGCGGGAGGAGCCATAGCTCCACGCCGTGCGACTGTGCCCTGTGTGGCGGGGTTGTTGTAATAGTTGTTGCCAGCTGTAGCCTTGCGCTTAGTGCCGATCAGGCGCGGCGGGGCAGCAGCCAGGGTACGGGTTTTCGCCTCGAGGTCAATCAGTTTGACATGAGGAATATTATGGGTGGCCTTGTATGAGGCATACGACAAACGGGCGCGAAGATTGCGCGTCACCTATGAGAGAAAGACAGGAGTATGTTAGCATTCTCGTATTATATCACGACCGCGCCCACACATAGCAATCTCAGCGGGGGATCCGGTATACGAGCACCACAAAGTAAACAATATTCTGAGTGCCATTCCATATCGTTGGCGCGAATGACCGCCCTCCAACGCGTCCCGCGAAGTGCACAGTCTGAAATGAAATAACTCACCATCGAAAGCTCCGTGCTCGCCATGACTTTCTGGATGGCTTTCAGCCTATCCTCCTTCTCTAATGGATCCACATCCATCGATGTAGAAGGGCTGTAGGGCTGTAGGTAGCTCGTTGGCGGGGACGCTGAGGTCACCGAAGACGACGGAGTCGCCATAAGGAGCGCGTCGCTGGGAGTTTCTAGTGATTATATACAGAATAAAGCACAATATATCACAGTGAGAGCGTCTGGCCGTAAGCCGTAGGACCTGGGGACCGTTACAGATGACCAAGAGAGGATACTGGTCGCTGTGTGGGACGTCGAGGAGCGCGTTAAGGAATGGAGCACGCGCGACGACGCGCTAGTCTTATTCATCCGAATTCCCACGGGCCAATTTACCCGCACCCGCCGGTTTGTGCCTGTTTCTACCCGCAAATAACCAATAATGGTTCAGAATTCACAGTGAAATATTCTTCACGCTCAACGGGAGAGTCATCTAGACAACGTTTTTATCTACACTTTCTTTCACGCTGATCGAGAGCGTGTAGTGCGTCCTGGACAGAAACCATATGGTCGAAGTGAGTTATGTTTGATCGGTGGGGATCGGCCGCTTGAACGACATGGGATTGAGATAACAGGATACAAACTGGTTGATAACCGGAGTTCACGTGGGTCTAAAAGACGTCTCGCGAGAATATAGCTGTAGCCTAGCTGACAGTCATGAGATGAGCATATGATCCATGAACGCCCATTTTAGCTCATATCTTCCATCCAGAAGGCACTACAACAGTTCCTACCTTGGACGACGCTCCTTCACTCTTTGTTTGGGTTCTAACTTCTGAGTCGTACGCGACAGCGCCACTCATTTCTTCCCAATACCATTTCGGAAGAAATCCCACGCGATCTTCCCCTCCTTCCACGTCCCTGACGTCCACATCATCTAGCAAAACAGCAGAGACCCCTGTCTTTGGCGTGAATTTGATACGCCAGACATTACCCTTTGAGCCTCCTTTGATGGTGTTCCTGAGGAAAGATAGAAATCGATCTCCCCATGCTAGACAGACATTGGGATCCCAGGCGCCAGGTTTTCCTCGAACCAGGCGTGGTATCTGTACAGTCTGGAAAACTTGCGTAGTCGTCAAGTATCCTGATGGCTTCCTAAACCCAACAAAGACCTCCTGTATCGCAGTGTATTTATAAGGTGGTCCTGTTTCAGTGTCATTTTGCATACCGGAACTCCTAGCAGAAATGACTGGAAATAGAATTTCAAAAGCTTTCTGTCGCATAGTCTGAGGAAGTGCAAGTGCCTGAAACGCAGATGACACTTACTTTTCAAACTTGGCTTCGTCTTGTGGGCCACGTATTGATAGCGAAGTCTTGAGTTCCACGAAGTTGTCAGTATTTCCCGCATATTTTCCTACAACAAATAACGTCTCCCTATCCATTGACGCAAATTGACACATACCTCGAACGCAGTCGACTTCTCCACCGATGATGATCCGTGTATCACCCAACTTAGTTTTCACAACACTGCACCACTGAACATTGGTATCAACATCACCACCCCAACCAACAGCGCCCGATGTACCAGAGGGATGATGTTCATGTTCGTCGGGAGTTGACGATGTGCAATACGATTCAAATGAATATCCATAGTAAGACTGAAGTCGATGCCGAGGTTCCAGATCGCTCCTTCATCAACGTAAGCAACACACACATGTAAAACGAAAAAAAAGTTTCACTTTTCCTTTAGTTTCGCATCTGATAGATGCTCCTCAAAGTACATAGTACCATCGACACACATCACGTTGAGCTCCCAAACATCTCGCTCTTCGTAAGGTGCCGTTAATATTCTCCCTCACCAGAAGTATTCCCCAGGTAAACAAATATCATACAGTAGATGGAATGACATCTTACTTGGTGATAACCCCTCTCCAGCTTATCACTCCAATCTCGGGATTTTGCCCATTGAGACTTTTCTTGAACCGCGACCACGCGCTCAATAAACCATCGATGCGTCCACGTTCTTCCGGGCGCCGTGTCCAATTCTCGTAACCATAGTTGAGATCTGCACCATGCGGTGGATTGACGAAATAGCGCAATGCAGAGTCATCAAATTGTAAAACGCGAGAAGGCGAGTAGGAAAACGTGAGAAGTTGACTAGGGCGCTGAAATGCGGGTGGATGTGAGGCTGGATGTGAAAGGCTTGGGAAGGCAAGAGTATAATCGCTTTCTATTTTGGCTTTAGCCACCTTTCCAGTTGGTGAGAGATCGTCCTCTGCCGGCCGCTTAAGACCCATTGGATTTGTTATTCCTTGCTGGTTGGAGGTGGTCAAGGATGCAAGTGGTTTGTTTATTCCAGAAGCTTTTGCCAAACAACGGCCTTGGGAGGTAACACGTGACAGCCTGACAGGTCAGCTCGTGTCCATTCTCATTTGGCAGTGAAAAAGACAAGGCTGGTGTAAGGTGCATTTTACCCTCATTCATCACGCCATTCAGGCTTGTCAAATGGTTCATCTCCGTTTTTTGCCGTGAAAGTAATATCGAGGCAACGTGCTGAACAGCCCTCTTGAATTAATTTCAGAGCACTTCGGATGCCTCGTTGAAGTTGAGTTCACGCGCTGTGACATAGGCCTGCTGCGAGCTTCAGTTTATTCATTGCCTCCAATAATAGCAGATAATGATTCGTTGAATGCAGCCTGTTGAACCGTAATGAATGCTTGCCCAGCACCTGAAGCGTCAGCTAAGCTAGCGCAAGCTCGGGATGCTGATTCATGCCCATGACACATTTTACCTACAATTAATGGCTCACGCGGATGCATGAACCTGGTGAGAACCGTGAGAGTCTAGACGTAGACCTTTTTTAGTATCGTCCGCTGGAGCTCGATGATTGGAGGAACTCTCAACCGAATCTTGTCATCCAACTGACAAACGGGTCTGCGCTGGCAGAGCGCTTACTTGCTCCAGCTCTGAAGGTTAAGTAAAATCCAATGGTTCAGCGCTGAACTTGTGCAGGTAACCTGCGCTCAGTGCTAGCCAAAACAGTCGCTAGCGCTTCTTGGCGTTAAGATGCCGTCATCTTTCTCCTTAAGTTACTCTATTAGCATTGAGACGTGTCATTCGACATTTACCCGAGACTGGCCAAATCCAACTTGAGCTGTTCAATCTTGTTGTCGCATCGTCACTAGTCCAGCAGCAATGGGGCCCCGGCACTTCCTACTACCAAAACTTTTCATCCGTGATCCGACATATAAATTGCATCTTCGGCGATCTGGCAGGACAGGTGAACACGTAACGGTAGTGTCGACGAAACACGCCGCATCAGTCACTAAAAGCACTGCTCCGTCCTTACTACTCCAAACACGAAGTGATTGCGTGTCCGGGTCGAGGTCCCGTGGGTCATTAGCATGTACCTATACTCTCATAAGTAAGCAGCTTTACTTCCTCCACCCCCTTAGTTTTTCTCCTCTGTACACCAGTAAGCACTAACGATTCCCGTCATGATATTCTGTTAGTACTCGCTGCCCACTTCTTCGCCCAGTCACTGACAACCTGACTGGTATAGTTACAAGGAAGCCTAAACCATCTGCGCTTCCTCTCGGATGGCCATCCCCATTCCACAACAAGTGTAGTCAACGAGACTGCCACCATCCTAATAACCCGCAAACCGTCAAAGGTGTTTACCAATGTAGCGGCATTCCTGGAGGTTTCTACTGCGAGGGTACATACAAGATCGCATCCACCCGAGCGCGTGAAACAGAGCACTATCTGCAAGAAATGGACATGGCTCGTAGATCGGCTGAAGAGGAACAGAGAAAGCGCACAACATCGGAGATGAGGCGGCCTGAGAGACGTTCTGAGCTCGGGTCGCGACGGGGAGGGACGAACCTGTCTATCAGGAGAATGCCAGATGAGCGGGACTTCCGACCCGGTTTTGGGCAAGCTCCTCGCATTACGAGAGGCACGGAAAACAGGAGGCCGCAAACGGGTGCACCATATTCAAGTCATCGCCCTTCACAATCCGAAATAGAGTCGGAGTTCAAGACTGACCAAATTCTGATGCATCTCTATCCCGAACGAGAGATCCGACCAAGATGGTGAGTAATACGCCAGTCTATCAGAACTGATGCTCATCAAGTCGTAGGATATAGTAATGAACACACTGTACGAGTCTCGCATTTTATGTATTTTTGGCCCTTTCAAAGCCAGAATGATGATTATATGATTCCTGACACGATATTACTTACATACGTCCTATCAGGACACTACACGTATTTTATTCCACCATTACTTCGTGTCACTTATACTTCATGAACCACAAGATAAACTAAATGACTATTTGATCAAGATGCACTCTGGACCAGTGCTACTGCCTTCTGCGATCTAGGTGTGATCGAAATTGAGAAGGTTTTTGCGTGGCTGCGAAGAGACCCGTAAAGAAGAGCGACACACATTCAGCTTCAACGACCGATTTACATGATCGCACTGGCTTGTACTGATCAAAGGATGATATCAATTTCGCATCCGAACTCGTCTACAGGCTTCTTTACGTCGAAAACAGCGAGAACGGACACGTATCACGCATGGCAATCCAAACAGTTTAGCGAGATACTCGTTCCAACACAGTTCCTGAGCCTTGTTTAGCGTTCTCGTTGCAGTATTTTAGCTAACGTACCTTGTTCTGAATCTACATTGTTGCTATCCAAGGTTCATCCGAAAGTGTTCCGTTCTTTAATATAACGTTCAGGCATGAACGGAAAGGGTTTCAGGGTTCAGGGTAGTGTGTCCATACAACCTTCTATCGCGTGTCATCATCGCCCTGTAGAAGTCCATCAGATTATCCAAGGAGGAACTTTGTTCTATCAAAGACAATAGAGTCTGATTCCGCTGACTATCTAACGTAAGTGGCATCTTACGGATGCACACCCAAGTTAGCAAATCGCCTATGATGGGATGTTCTCACCCAGTAGCGGTGACTAACACATTGCAGAACTTCGCGATACGTGGCCTCGAGGTAGAGCGTGGATTTCCTATCACTATTCCGGCGCCTCGGGTGTCTTGACCTTGACTGACATCTGTTTGAGCTTTATTTTTGGCCCCCGGTTCACATAACCATCACCATCATGAAAGCAGACAGCGCTGCAAGATGATGTATATATCATTACAGAGATATCATCGAGATGGACTATGCTGCTGGGTGGATACGATGCGAATGGTTTCATCACCATCAGCATTCTTGCTGAAGTAGAGTTACCAGAGTATGAAAAATAAAACGCACCTGTGTATGTTTGTACCTGTTTCAGACATTTAATGCGGTACTGTACCACTGTCAGCCTGCGGCAGTGTACATACTTTGACCAACGACGGGTTCGGCGTCCCTGAGGCCTGAGTACTAGTACTGAGTCCTGACAGGCCCCCGGAAGCTCCTGCCAAGGTCCACCCGCCCGACCAGCTAAAATCGGCCTCAAAAATGCGAAACTTTTGGCCTCAAAAATGCAATTCCGGGCAGAGGTCAAAAATCACGTGGTGTGACATACCGTGACCTCCAGCCAATGCGTGACAGATGGTGACACGCTGCTCACTGTTGACAACGGCGGCGACCGTAGAGGAACATAGTATTTCAATGACATATAATAAGTTTACTAGAATATATCAATCACTAATTCTTGATCCCTCGTGCCCCCCTCACCGGAATCTTGATGGTAGGTGGCAATTTTAGAATAACACGTTTGACGGATGGTCGAGAGAGAGTTGCCCAGCGAGCACCTGCCTCAGCGGTCAAGGTGAGATGATTGTGGAGCTGCTGTGCGAATGGATTTCCATTGAGGTGGTAAATGAGTTGCTGTATAGGTGCATGAGTGTGGAGCGAAGCTGTTTTGTGAGGTGTTTGAAGGGCCGTGTATTTGAGTCGGGACAGGTCGGAATAGGGTTCACCGCTGGACAAGTGTCCATGAATTTTGCCGAGTGTTTCAAATGTGTGATTTAAGAGATTACACCGCCATGCAAATTGTGTTGCGCCGAGATCACAGAATGTGCGCTCTTGATGAATTATCAGTGTCATCGCAATGTTTGCATTTACAATAGTAACAATGTGAGCTGTTGTCAACTTGTTCCAGGTGCTCGAAATTGTTGTTGATCAGTGATGCCCTCCAGCATGCACCATCTTACTTTAGGGATGTCATTTTGCATGTTCTCTTGAATTCAAACTATGTTATCAGAGAGCTAGATTCCATCTCCACGAGTCTTGGATATCCTGGAGTTGTACCAAGTTTTGCCACCCCCCTTTCGCGTGAGTTCTGCCGAGGACCGGGCACAACCAGTTTTGCCGAACCGGTTGGCAAAACTCGGTAGTTTTGCCAACAACACTAACACTGTGTCCTATAGACCTGCCCTGAAGGATGTGAAAAATGCAATAGCCGGATAGACCTTTCGTTCAGAGTGCCTCAAAAATGCTATTTCCGGGCAGAGATTTTGCGATATTTGGCCCTCAAAAATGCTATTTTGCGGGGGTACATTAGCTGGAGCTTCCGGGGGCCTGTCCTGACGCCAACATCGACAGAGAAATCAGCATCCAGCTGACTAAGCGCCAGGCCCTGCGGCCCGGGGCTGCAGTTCCTCTCCCGCCTGAGCGCTAGCGCTGATCGCCCGATCAGCGCTCAGCGATGGAAGCAAATAAATGGTTCCGCGGAACCATTTCGTGACTGTACACGATCAAGACTTGCATGTACATTCCCGTTGACACTGCGGACCTAATATTTCGATCATACAGTATAGGACCGGTCCTTCAACTTTACCCACCCCACTCCCTTACGGGGTGTTGCCTGTAACATTGAAATTGGTGTGCATTGTCACAGATATCACATGGTAACAACACGAAAGGAAACATAATTTACGAGAGGACGGCCATAAGGTCAAGTCGACATTGATAATGACATTGGAGATTTGAACATCCCTGTTAAACCTCGTAGAATTTCAGACTTGGTCAGACAGCTTGGAGACCAAATATTATATCCGGTCCGACTAGTAACCATACACGGTCAGCCTCCGACGATCGTTTCAAACAGCTGTACTTCAAGTTTGGAAGGTCGCGGCAAATTTATTACTGCAGCAGTCGCAGCAGTTGACGCACCATTTTCCTAATGTCCTATCCAAAGGCATGACGCCCGAATCCGGTTCGAAACTTTATCCCGCCCATCGAAGCTCATTTCGTTTCCTCCCCAGACTGAGAGAGGTTTTGAGCTGGGGTCCCCAGTTCAAAACCTCTCTAGATTTAACATATGTTTGATGCTCGTCTGGAGAGCGTAATGCTTAGGACCAAGCCAACGGATAAAAAATTGGGAAATAGATCTGAATGCACACAAGACGTTGTACAGAGTATCATCACCTACACCGTAAACCAATCATCACTTCCCAGGTCTGAAAAGCTATGGTTAATCTAGCATCCCAATCAGTGAACAATTCGATTACACATATTAGCATCAAACTGACCCAATGCGACAAAATACCAGCAATCAAATCAGGCGTTCGGTTAGGTATCACTAGCTCGGCCCAGGTAGGCTGGATCCCCAGGGAGATTTGAGGAGATCGCGCATAGGAGGCTCCATTATAATCGTCGTTGAGTTTCATGAGAAGGAAGATCCAGTCATGACCATTGGTCAGAGCACCACGGAGGACCTTTTGCCTGAGATAAAGTATTGGAAATGTGAACCTGAAGGCTGGCAGGATTTGCTTACTGGAGGAACTTTCCGCACGCGTATATCTCAGAAACTGCTTGAGCAATATGGTTCGAGGGATCGCTAAGCTTGGCTTCAATAACGAAGAAGCTGGATGGCTTGTTCACCTTCATGTCATGAAAGCTGATGTTTGCCATCAGATCGAAAACTAGGGGAAACAATGAACTGGGCGATTGAGATAAGTTGAGGCAGATTCACCAGCACCGCCGCTTCAACTTGGTACTGTGGCAATATAATCTATAATTCCATAAAGTTTCCGCAAACTCGTCGAGCTGATATTCGTGAATGGAACAACGTGGTCCGTGCTGAGAACCATGCGCTTATTTGATGGTAGCATTGCAGTTGCGCGGAAGAGGAATGCGTCAATCCACACACGAGCACTTGCTTCGTTCTGACGGAGTATGAGAGTGGAGCAGAGGTTGACAGATAGTCAACATACCCTAGGAATGTGACTTTCCAAAAAATGCAATTGACGATACAGATTCGCAGAAGACCAAAGTTCAAGGTCTTGGTCTTTTCGACGTTTTGAACAAAATCAGGCTTCAGGTCAAGCATGCCGGTATACGTGATGTTGAACGTGGTCGAGTCATCCGTGGTTACACCGGAGAAGGTATAAGACTGCAGAGAGTGAGCTAATGGGAAGCCGTTTCGTAACTCGAGTCATACCCGAGACCCTTCCAGCTTTGACCCCAACAGAGAGACCATGTTCTTGAGCTGCTCCCCGAATTTTTCTGGAGCACGCCCTTCCTCCTCCTCCTCCTCGTCGTAGTCGTAGACAAGGCTTTTCTGAAGCTTAAGAAGACCTTCGTAGGCGAATTGCAATTCCAGCCCACTGAGACCGAAGAGTTTACGCTTCATAGGAGGCATGAGGACAGTGAAGGTTCGGATCAAGAAATCAGCTGGTGGCTCAACACTGGGTGAAAAACTGGTTATGTAAACTCTTGAAGGCATGCCAGAGAAGCTCCTATTTGATGACCAACATCTTCTGGCAAAGTATCTCGTATAAGCGGTATTCAAATATTCATCGACAAGATCTTCACAAACCGTATTTCTGCGTGTCTCAACCAATGGACCAAGTCTCTGATACAGATCAATTTATTTCAATGATAGGAAGTCGAGGGAGGCCAGGAGATAGATACCTGCTGTGTTTTCTTCATTCTGCAGGAGAATGACGAAAATACAGCAGATCTGTCTATCTAGATCTTGACCTACGGTTTGACCAAGAAGGGGAACGCAAAAAAAGAGTAAGCACGATGGGGTAACTGAAACCAGCATGAACACAAATATGGCTGAAGTCGCTGTCAAAGAGATGCAGAGAAATACAGTCACGTCCACAAAAGACGTTCGGGTTCTGTGTCTCAGTTACGAAATGGCGTCCAACTTCAAATGTGAACGCCTTGAAAATCTAGAACAACCGACAGTGAACAAAAGAAGAAAGCGACTCGGACGACATTACATACCCAACAAACTGATGGATCCTTCAACGTAGTAACAGAGTGGATCGGTAACGTATATTGTGGTTCATCCAGCATCAGTTAGCACGGACACGAAAAGATGCATAATCATGGAGCGCAAGTAGAGGCATCTGAATTGGAGCTGTGAAGTAACCCCATGTACGCATTGAGAACGAGTTGAGCCATAACCAACGGAATAACAATATACTGTACAAACAACAAAGCTGCAAATAAGTATTATCATTGTACAGCACAAAACGAATGAAGCGAACGAGATAGAATGCTGTAAGTTCATGCCCGACGCGCCATCACCCATGGGCCCTCTTGTTAGATGATTCGGCTACATCAAGCGATCTCCTGCGCTTGCTCCTTCCTATGTATGAGGGCGGTACGATGAAATACTTCTCGATGGCAGGCCTTTGGGACCTCGATGGCTGAACTGGATACCCTCCTATCGTGGGACTCGTTGGATTGGAATGTACGAGTGTCTCAATGGTCATACTAGATGCTCCTATATCTTTTGGCGGTTTCTTTTTGTACTAGACGATATTAGCCACAGCGTTCCAAGATACGCGAAAGAAGACGCACGGTTTCGAGTTCAGGTTTACCACGCCACTTTGCGATTGCTTCACAAAAGCGTAGTGCTGCCCTTTCAACAGGCTCAGCAGGGTAGTGCCATGCCAGATCCTCCATGTGCGTTGATAGATCTGGCGTCAAAGACGGTATCGTATAGAACTAGGGTAGTGTCAACAATCTTGTGGCATATTTCGCCAAGACGAAGGTCTCACCCTTCTGAGCCGCTCGTCCATTTCAGCTTCAAATTCAGCTTCGGCGCCCTCTCTTCGAATGGGCGTCCCGTTTCGCGCAGCTCGCAACGCAGGAAACATGATTCTCGTCGCTTCTTTGAGACCAGGTAAGTCGTCTGGTTCAAACCATTCGAATGCAGAATCTGCGTCGTCCGGTGGTTCGAGTTGACCCCGATGACCCAACCCGTCATCAGTGATGCCCAAGCCAACTGATAGAAGGCATTCAACAGCCTCCAGACCCCACCACCCTCCGGTGAGATAACCCTCCAGGGTAGCACGAGAGAGCAAGCCCGCGAGGAGCATGTACCATTCTCGCGAAGGTCGTAAAGGAGGTGCAGAGGGCGCCTCGATGGTTTGAGATCTTCGGGATGAGGGCCGAGGTGACATTTGGGCAGACATCTCTGCACCACGTTGCCAGTCGCCTTCATACTCATCATCGCCAAGCTCTTCTCCAAGCTCAGTTGCGACAAGGGCAGAAAGCCTCAAAAAGCGCGGAATGAACTCTGACAGCCGAGTGTTCCCAGTGCCAGCACCCGAGTATTCCTCTTCAGAATCAGCCATGAACCACTTCGACTTCCGGCGCAATACGCTGCCATTCACGCCCGGCTGAGCCAAGCCCGATCCAACACCGGGGCCATCTTGCCAGCCAGCAATACCGCCTCCACTGCCACCCATACCTCCACCCGAACCGCCTAGCCCTCCTTCCCAGTCTCCAAAGCTTCTGGCGCCCATCGCAGCAGATGGTGGGCGTGCTCGACCAGACCCTCCTGGTGCTTTGACAGAATGTTTGGCTTCGACGCAGATTTCGCATGCAGTATGAAGATGCCGAGGGCACCGCAGGCTAGGGGGTGAATTGGCGGTGGAGGGGTCGGCGCCTTGCATGTACATAGCGTATACACGACTACTAGGCATGAACTTTGACCTTCGGTTCTTTAAGATAGTATCGTCAATAATAGATACTTTGACTTCAGAATTGGGAACTCACACGAGACTGCACCATTTGTGGTGCTTGCATTGGAGAAGGGAAGTCACCCCTGGGTAAAAGAGATGTCTGAGGAAGTGCCGCAGCTGATACCTGCGAAAGAAGGACGACATATGGAGGAAGGCTACCAGTAATTCCTTGTCCAGAGGACATGCTACTGCCCCTCCCAGATGCTGGCGACGCCTTCTGCATTGCAGGAGAGTTATCTGGACTTCGACCGTTTGAAGACGCTTGATCTGAGCCATTGCTGGGGAGAATGATTGGTGGAGGATGGTGATGATGTCGGTATGGAGAAGTAGGCGCTTGACGCGCAAATAAGTCATTGATGACAGTCCCCAACGCTAACCGTAAACGAACGCCATTTGGAAGAGTGTGCGGGTGGGATGTCGCACGCGGAGGTGACTGAAGTGATTCTGGGCGCTGTGGGGATGTAGGTGGTGTATTCAGATCGTCATCGAGGATTGGGTGCACAGTAGGAGGCTGGTCGAGCATTGATGTGACGACCTTCTCGAGACCAATAGCACGGAGTCTTAGAGTCCTTGCCAGGGTCAAGTCCTGTTTCTGCCGACGATTGTCCTCATCCTCATTATGAGGATGGTTCGGACCACCCTCTCTGGCTTTGAGCATTTCGACATTCTCGCCGTCACTTGAAACTTCGTCATCTTCCTCATAGGACTCCGGACGTTCACGATAACGGTAGTTAGGCGAAGAAGGACCTCCTGTTCGGTCGGTCATTCCGAGCTCAGCACGGGCCTGGGTAAATCGGGTTCGGCCATGCACCCATAACATATGATCTATTATGAGAGTTCGGGTAGATTTCTCCCTAGGAGGGATAGAGTGGAGATGATGTGCATGTTTATGAGCTGGAGCCTTGAAAGCTCGTAGACCATTTGTTGAATTTGAAGTTGATGAAGATGCGAAGATGGGTGGCTGATAAGTTGTTGTCCCTGCTACTAGTACTTGTGGTACACTGAATGAAGGAAAGTGACCCTGATTCAAAATTGCGGAACTAGACGCGCTCCCGTTGTGCAAAGATGAATAGGATGTCATGTCATGGATCGTGTCACGGTATATGCAGGGAGTATTTTGATCCTATGTCGGCCGTTGTCCTTCTCAATAATTCCGATTGTTGTTGATACCTTCGTGAGGAATCGGAACACCCCGCTTTAATTTTCTTGTTCTAAACCCTCAATAGCCCAACATTGATATCCAAGTTTGACAGCGTGGAAGCTCGTGGAAGGTGCAGACGTCCAGCTGCGGCCTTCAACTCCATGCATATGGTTGATATTGAATTATCACTGGCAGTTATCATTGCAATCGAATTTGCCTTGGCTTGAATGCTATTAGTGTCGACTGCTCTGGTCAGATGAGCTCGCTGAGCGCTGATGCATGTCGCAGATACTAAGGTGAGTTACAGATGCGGCTCCCGAGTGACTATGATTAGCCCCCGGGCCCCTTAGAAACTTATTTCTTTAATCCAAGATATAAGTACTAGTCCTCATCATTGACATAGCCCGGGCCGCATCAGTACAAATTGCCATTTCCGTGAAGTTGGAACTCAAGCATGGTTCGTGCGCGACCAGTCGGCCATACTATCCCACCCAACTCACCTACCAGACGCGAAATCATCTCGTAATTGACTCTTGTCAGTCATCCAAACACCGTGCTTGACCGAAAGCCGCCGCTACTTCAGATCTTGCAGCTAGTCCCTCATTGGGACCGTGATGTTATGTTGTTGCATATGTCAAATACGGAGATCGTGTGTGTTATTAGATGATCACGTACTAACTCATCTCAGCCAAGCCTTTCCGGGACACAGGCCCCGCGGACCTTTTGTTGGTTAGACCACAGTTATCAAACTACAGGGTTGGCGATCTGCAAGGAATCAACATAAGTTTACATGACATCGTTCAATATCTAGGCACAGGTCAGGGTTTAGTCTATTCCTCATCATTTCTTTGATGAGACTGATTTTAGTACCGCTTAAGTCACTCAAGCTATCTGAGCACATTCCCAACATAAGCATTAATAACTCATAGTTCATTCGCAGCCTAGCCAGAGACAGGCAGGGGCTCCGGCACCTTCGCTTTCATGATACGGATTAGCTCGAAGACGCCATGACCCACAGTGTCATGATGCTGGAGCTTAGCGGATAAAGGGCTTATCTGATCATATTCAACGTCAAACCGTTTGATAAGTCGGTGCCTCCGTAGGTCGGGGCCACAGCGGTCAAGATTGACCATTGTGCACATCAAATCAACGCGTCGAGAATGCGGCCTTCTAACTTTGTCATCGCTACGCCCGACGTCAGTAGAATGACGACAATATGCCGTTGCTTGCTTTACGGCTTCAGCAACAGTTGTTTTTGAGATCATTTACATAATGATAAAATCCTTCGAAAACTATTGGACGGCTTGCAGTTTTTCGCTACACGCTAGCGCCGAATGGCTTATCAGCCTCTACATGCTAGTCAGTTTCAACATTTGCTTTTGGCACGCTGTCACTCATCGCAGAAAATCACCTCTAAAACCGATGTCACCGACCATTGCGGGAGCACTTAGGAGCCCTCTAGTCCAGACTTTCTCATGTCGGATATCTTTGCTCAAGGTGTTCACAACCCCCCTCGTCGACCAACGTCGTATGTGAGACTACACTCTGGAGAAAACACTGTTCCGAGGTTGTCTATCTCCAGTTCTGAGGGTGGCATTTTGTCGGTTAATCCCATTTATCAATGTCGCACAAGACTAAATTTAACTCCGAGATTCTAGGACATGATACTCGAGCTCAATTGCCGAACTATTCAGGGGCAAAGACTCTCATGTCATATCTCTTCCCCAACGATATTTCTCGGGTTTGGAATCTCTCGCAACCTTTGATTATATCCCAGCAGGGTAATATACCGAGGTCATCTCGGGAATGTGTTAGTAAGTACCACCTCCCACAATGTCTGACTACATTGGTGAGTGCTGGTCTCAGTTCGGCAGCGTTAGGCTCTGTCATGGCTGCGGCAGAATGCCGCCATCAATTTGTCCTTCCTGTGCCCGAGGAATCTCTAAGCCCCCACATCGCCACCCCGTCAACTACAGTTGAAGAGCACCCGAATTTCGAAACGGATCGTCGTGTGCGCAACAAAACGTCACTCTCAAAAGACAAAAATGGATACATAGAAAAAAACGTCAAAAACGCAAGCCCTGGATATGTCATTCGCCAAAGACATACAAGACTGAGCGGAGCGCCCGTAGTGTCGCCTATTAGCTACTGAGCTGACATAACTGTACCATAGGACGCTACTACAGCAGATACTGCGGCGGCGTCAGTCTAAGAGTTTCAAGTGACCGCCACGATTAGAGATCTTGTCGATCCTGGAGTTTGACAGTCTGCGCGTTCATTGTAGGCTATGATCAACGATACAAGCATATATCAAATTATTGGCGCAGCTGTAATAGTCAATTAAGTAATTACGATTGCCGACGCTCCAACTCGGTTTGCCTATAGCTAGCCAATATCTTGATTGTGGCAGACATACCATGGGGCTGAGTCTTAGACTACTAGTCATCTCGCATGGACAATCGACTCATCGACATAGCCTTGGAATCTGACATCACACTCCCGCAAGTCGCCGCGGGAATTATGCTGCGACGGGGTGGTCCCGCGATGTATGGATGGTCAATCACTCAAATACAATGACTCTGTAGGCCAGGACGCCACACGGATCGCGATCGTGCCTCGAAACGATCCCGTATGCGCCCAGGCTGTGCAAACCAAGTATTGTGCTATTTCGGATTCTCCGTGTTTGCGGTTCCGGAACGAGTCAACGGCACTCACACAGCTCCAGATGGCGTGTTTTCCATCTTGCGAAGAAGGGGCGAAGAATGTTGAGCCCGAGGTTCGTTTAGTCAAGTAGCGTCTTCGTCGGGGCAGTGTAAAAGCCGAGGGTATTCGTTGGAACTTTGAACTTTGCCGGGCTACTTGATTAGGTGAGGCGGTGCTCATGATTGACGCTAGTCGACTTGGGCAAGTGGGTGTGTACAGCCTTGTCACAGATAGACGTCACTATAATGAAAAATCGTGAGCTTCGGGCGAGATGGAATTTAGTTCCGCTTGTCACAGCCCTCTGGTAGACTCATCGCCATAATGAAGAAGAGCTCGAGCAAGATCGATCGTTGAATTTTTAGTTCCATTGGATAAATATACTACGACATGATGATCAGACCGACGTCCGCCGTGTCTAAGATGACTACGCTACAAGGATGAGAATCACGGGGACGAATAATAATGGCGAAGCGGGGGAAGGCACACTACAATGATACTTAGGTACGATGACTAGCATACGAAGTTGCATCAATAACATGATAAATGACAAGACAAAAAGGCGAAAGGGTAGTATAACAAAATCTTTGGTCAAGGGAGAATCCGCAGAAGCGTCCCAGGAATATAGTAGGCGGTCGTGAAATGTATGAAGTGTAGATTAGACAGATCAAGTCAGTTATTAGAGGGGCTGCCGCGTATCAAGATGGGGAGGATGGAAGAGCATTATACCATAACACTCATGCTAGTCCACCCATTTTCCTCGGTCTTGGGTACAGGACCACGATCAGGCTCTTGCTTTGCAGCATCGAGAACTCTCTGACAGTCAGCACCGCCCTCAGAACGCACTACAGGAAATTCGATAAGCGATGTATTATGCATGCTGAAGACACAGCACTTACAATGTCTGTTCAGGGCATCCATTCGCGCAAAGGTCTTATTGCAGCCTTCGCACGTGAAAGGACGATAATTCGAATGAAGCTGTTCATGTCGCTTGCAATCGTGCTGCCTTGCGAACCCTTTGCCGCATCCGGGCCACTTGCACTGGAATGGCCGCTCTTCGTTGTGTGAACGCATATGACCTTAAATAGATACGTCAATATCAGTGCACGAGCCGATATGAAATTTAATTACCTTTCAGATTGAAGCTCCTCGTAAACGTGCTGCCACACCCAGGCACTGGGCACAGGAAGTTGGCATCCTGCTTGCGGCGCCGGTGGCTGGCGCCAGCCGTGCGCTCACTAGTCACAGTTTGCTTTGTGACAGAGATCTGGCTCGCCATGGTTTGGACAGGGTCTGGACGAAGCATAGATGGAGGACGTCCAGCGAGGGAGACGCTGGGTAGATCCTCGTATCGCACACGTGGGCTGGCTGATGGACTGGGATACGGGCTTGCGCGGTTAGATGATAACCCACTCCAGCTGCCGTCACCCCCACCGCGTGAGCCTGACGATGCCCGACGGTTGTGCATACGAATGGATTGCACGGTCTCTTGGGGGTAGAGATACTGACGGTTGATGAGTTCGGTGTGGGATGAGGGAGGGAATAAGAGAGGAGAGGAATGAGAGATGTCTTCAGAACGTGAGAGGCGGTTATGGGTTGGGCGCGAGCCGCTGTCAGATTTGGATCGGCGCAGGTTGGCCGCTATGGCATCGGGAGTGAGATAGTTCATGTTGGATTGAGCGTTGGGAGTCCCAAAGTTGAACTGCTGAGGATGAGAAGAGTTGTTGAACGATGTCTGGTTTGCACTTGCGCTGGAGGGATGCTGCGATTGTTGTTGGTGCTGCGGAAGGACGTCACTGAGATTGACGGTGCCGTTGTCGTCGATAGCAGAACTGTTAATGGCTCTGAGTTGCTCGTGGGTCATGAGAGAAGGGTCCCAGAATGTTGGACGTAAAGAAGATGAGGTATCGGATTTACTACGAATGCGAGGGTTGGTACCCGGGAAGAGGAAGCTGGTATTTGTAGGATCTGGATGGGGACCGAGAGTGGACAGCCCCTGTGTATGTGAAGAGTGGCTGTGCGAGAATTGCTGTGCACCTTGTTGTGACACCCCAAGTAGTTGAGATCCCTCGGTATGCTGAATTTGTTGCTGATCCCAAGGGGGGGTCGCAGCCTGTTGCTGTGGCGCATTTTGGGTTGATCCTGTACGGACGTAAGACGCAAACAAAAATATAAAAGGCAATTAGCGATTCCCAAATAAACAAGATCCATCACGGAGTCAACTTGCCTTGATGGAGAGATTTCAGGGTAGAATGAAAAGGAACCGCTTGTGAAGCCGCTCCCCCGCCACTTATTGGTGTAGCAGGAACAATGTGCAATTGGGGACCGCTGGAAGTAAAACCACCATCACCGTCTGGAGCGTTGATCATTGGAGGTTCCTGAGGGAATAATGAATGGGTGGCTGGACTGGTATCAGGAATTAAAAGTTGAGGGGGGGGACTGGGGCTTTCTTGGGGGTGACATGGATCGATCTCCGGGGAGTTTATGAGACTGCCAATGGGGGGATTCAAAATGAAGATTTTCGAATGAATGAGCCATATCGAGACGTGGGGACGACGTGGGAATTTGTGGGTTGGATGAGACTGAAGAAGCACGACTACGCGGCTCATCTCCTCCTCCGTTGCTGGATGGAGAACTATGATCGAAGACATTTGGAGAGAGATTATCGAAAGATGCACGAGTCACGGAAAGTGAATTGTGATCAACGTCAGGCATGTATTCGCCTTGAAACATGAGCAAACCAGAATTTGGTGGATCATACTCGGAGGGGTCATATTCATCGCGAGATGCGACATTGCTCGCATCTCCATCAAAGAGACCAAAACTCTCTGGACCATCTGGATCATAGCTCAGCTCTGACTGACCAGAGTAGGGAGAGTTCTGATAGGATCCATTGTATGACGGAGTATGGGGGAATGGAGGAGAGAGATGACCGAACTCGTAAGATTCAAAAGGAGAATTTGCAGGTAGATTCAGAGGCTTGTTTGAAGGACTGTTAGAGTGATAATCGAGCTCGTTGAGATATGGGTTTGATTCCGAGCGAAGTAGCGCCATCTGTAGTGAAGGTGCTGTGTGGTGAGCCAGACAGAATTGTTAGATCGGAATGACCGATTTGCTGTGCAGCAAAGACGCTAACTGTTTGTTCAAAAAGACAGCAAAATATAATAACAAGTTGAAGAGGGATGAGGATAGGAATAAGAAAGATATAGACGCTTGTCAGAGGGGAGGTAGAGGTTTTGTGAGAATTAGCCCGTTCCAATAGATTTATTATTGGCATCAGCAGTGCCTGGTCTTTTTAACCTCCGCATGTTCGGCCGGATTACTATCCAAATATAGGCAATATCTTGCCGAAAGTGTCCTTTTACTGGTCGGCTTCATCCATGTACCGTGCAAGGATCCGGCCGAGATTACTGTATATATGCCGTAATAATTTGGAATTTATTGTTCTCCATAGATTCTACAATGTTCAATTCAGGGTAGATAAGCGTCGGCAACGTTTCGCCCAACTGATAAGCGTCCGCTGACTCCTACAACACCGAGAAGGGCGGTCCTTCTTCAATGTACACCTCCAGAATTCTCGCATCACGCAATCCATTTAATCCGCATCATGTCACCATCCGAATCATCAATCTTTTGGCTCGGCTATTCCCGATTGGTTTGTTCCACATTCTGCTTCCGCTTCCCTCCACTCCATCCTGGCATGATGCGTTGCCGTCGCATTCTCTACATCCTACATTCAAATCTCCTCCTGATTCTTCCGTCTTGCCAAGTGGACATCCTCAAAATGCCGATCACAAGCACTCATAGACGCCGTCGGTAATCAATCTTGTCGGCGCATGATGGCGCACGGTCTCAAGGCCAGCTTCCTTTGACCGTTCGTCCTCCCATTCGCCCGAAATTTACATAATAGGCACAATTGACCATGTGCAACTTGACATGGACTCGGACATGTCATTGTTTCGCTTTGTTCATTGAATAAATCTTTCTTTGATGCTCGTTACGTACATCAAAAGTTACTACGACTATCGACATCTTCACGGCCGAAATGCCACTACTTGCCGCATCTCAGAATCCGAAACATGGCGATACAATCGGATCCCCCTTGATCTTAACATATCGCGGTATTCATACTAATCAAAGTCTATTAGCCATCCATCGCGAACGCTTCATTCGTAGCGACTTAGGGGTTTCCGTGAAAGTGGAACAGTTGGGAAATTCCAATGGCTGGAAATATTTATTTCAACTAGTCCTTACATGGGTTCTTCCTCCGAAGACCTTGGCAGCGCACTAGCCCAGGGAAAGTCATTCTAGACCTTGGCAGCGCACTGGCCCAGGACGACCTTCTCAGTCACCCGACGCCGACTCACACTACTATCACTAGTATGGCACCGCAAAGTTACTCTGCCTGTCGATCCCTGTTCCAAAACTCCTTTTTCGTATTGCGACCACATGGTGCTCACTGTCACAATGCCACACATCAAATTTGCATCGATTTTATGTGTATCCCTCCATCAATTATTGATCGAGCTACCCGCGAAAGTTGCGCTCGCTCTCGACCACCGTTCCTGAATACTTCTTCCGCACCGTTTGATGCGGTATATCAAAACATCTATAGAGTCCGCGGTAGACAATGTTACAAGTCGTTTCAAACGCATAAATCTCTCTCAGATGCCACGATAGTCGTGGGTTTTCACGGTACTACCGATCGACGAGGCGAACGTGCACGGTCGTTGGAATGGAGGACTAGCGAATACTGCCTGCGGCATTGACATATCTGGCCCGGCTGCACGTTACACACAGCCCCGTTCTATAACCCAACCAAGAAGCCTGGGATTGTTTAATGAAATTCCGGCAGTTTGGGATACCTTGATCAAGAAGTATTGATGCACCGCCTTTTTCATCAACGATCGCGAGAACATCAGAGAACATATTATCAGGTCGACACAATATCACTGGAAATAGGAATTTCTTTGTAGCGTGTATGCAGCATCACGCGACCCAATTTCCGAGGTACGATCTGATACATCCCACCATGCTTTGTGAGGCAGTGCGACCACGTCCCCTACAAGTGGTAGGATCGACGAACGAAGCATTCCCTCCATTCTCTCGCGTACCTGGGGTTATCCTACACGCGGACCTTGCCGTAATTAATGAGTAGGCCTTCGATCCCCGGCGGCTATCGAGGATGATGGTTGCACAGGACGAGCAAAGTGGGACAAGTTACACGAACAGAATGATATCATTGTACCATTGTTACGCCTCATCAAGAAATCATTCTGATTCCCTAAAACTAGTATGGATATTTTGGCCTCCTCGCAACCACCAGCGGTGACGATGTGTAATTCTCAGTATGCGGGTGTTTAATGGAACCCGCCCTGAAACGTGCCTTGCGAGAGTTGGCCACGCGCCCTTCAAGGGTGATACTCATTCATATCGCGTTTCTGCATTCTAGTATTCTAGACGTGCTCGGTGCACCGCATGTGGTGTGCATTGTTATTTCGGACGTACAACACGAGGAGGATCGATGGTTTGGCTGCCATCCGCCGACGTTGCTGTGCACGCTGTGGGACGCTGTGTCAACCTCCAATTAGCGCTGGATCGGGATTTAAAAATAGTGCCGCCGTGGGGGGTCGTTCATAAGTATTGTGGCTTTTTGCAAGAGAAGGTACAGCCTCCATAATAAGAATATTCGACCTGAGCTATGGTCACCGTTCCGCTGATGGTAGAACCCCGGTGCTTAGAAAACCCAGATTCCAAACAGGAATACTAGTAAGCGGGCAAGTTGAGTCAGCCTGTCATCAGCCTGAGTCAGTACGAACTTGGGACATCATGCTGACAAGCCAAGTCAGCCGTGCGAGGCGCAAGCCAGAATTGACTCGGAAAATGTAGCCCATAACCAGCGGCATTCAGGGGCGCAGCCCAAACCTGAGATGGCAGCTCACTCAGTAGCGATAATAAACTTTGATTAAGGGCGTTGATTCGTTGCTGCGAATACTACCATCGCTCAGTCCGGGCTCTCCGGGGAAGGAATACCACCTGAGGCTGGTCTCCGAGTCAACCTCAAGCCTGCGATCAGAGTTATCTGTGTAAAAGCGCCCTATGTTTTGGATTATCGGTGCCGTTAGTGTGCCATAGTGAGTGTTCCTGGCACTCACTAGATCTTTTCACACCGAAGGATAATAATAGTGCTTACATCACTTATCAGACTGAACTGGTATGTCACGAAGCTCCAACGTTGCAATGGGGCACAAATGCTTCCGCCCCTGGAGATAGGAGATGCCGGCGAATGTGAGAGCAGAAATGAGGGAACCACCGACACGAAGAAGACGACTCGGATCAATTGAAGATTTTCACGTGAATCCCCCATACGTGCGCTACCGGACGTTACCAATTTATTGCCAAGGCCATCTGTGACAATTGTGCGCTTTCTCCACACACCTGGAGCGCACTCACGCCCATCGTTGGTACAGCGGCATATCGCGAAGTGTAAAGAACCCTAAGCTCGAAGGATCGTAAGGATGGTGGATCATAATGCAGCGATCCTGATCGCCGCAGAGATAATTATTTTCCTAAATTGAAAACAAAACAGTACTAGTGAGAACAGTGAGAAGTTCAGGAGATAACGATTAACTTGGGTGTAGGTCGTTGTTCCTGACCGGGGTTTTAGGCTGCGAAATTAACCTGAACTTTTCCGTAGAAGAGATGCTCTGTAATCACGCCTCATTTGCGCTCGGTCACGGCATGTTCCTTGCACATGGGTTCATGAAGAGGGCTGAAACGCCGTTGAGTGAATTGTTTTTTTCAGATAGACCTTTATCAGCTTACCACAACTGTCTAGCGTCAACCACAATGTCATTTTTTGAGCTAGTCCAGAACAACATGCCAAACAAGCGCACTGGCCCCGCCTGTACGACGGTTATCAATGAGCATAAGGTTGACAGGAGCAATTAACGCTCGCACCGCATGGATTCCATCATTTTGCGCTCGCTGGCTGTTTGAAAAACAGAGGCGATCACCGAGCTTGATACCGTGACTACATTGGTCTCGGGCTGATTGTTCTTCAGGATATTTAGGTTTGTGTTCCTAGATCATGTCTAGAGGCAATATGTCTAGGCTTGCATGTTAGACCGGCGGCGGCGTGATCGATATCGATCATCAGTCGAGAATACTCACTGAGACCCTAAAGTAGGATGGCAGAATATCTAGTCGACTTGTAACCATGAATCTACTCCTAGTTGGACTGAAGAATCATATTGATGTGCATGTTTAGTAAAAATACAATCGTCTAACGGGCTAAAGTTTCTACCAGGTTATAAACGATGCTGCTCGAGAGCATCTGTTCATATGTGCAAGCAGCTGGACACGATCAAATCGTATCACGATGGACTGATCATGGATTCATTGGCAGTTTTCCATTTCCGACCACACACACTAGGGTTAGGGTTAGGACATCAAACCAGCAAAAAATAAGGCCCACCCAGCCAGAGTGGCCGTGGTGGGACAGGAAAATATTGAGACAGTGCATGAGCCGAAGCTCACACAAACTGCAGGTACCCTCTGAGGACAGGGTCGCCGTGCTATGAAAGGTCCCTACAGCCCAAGAACCTGAGACATGAAGAGGCCCGTGCCATCAAGGTAAGTATGAGGAATTAGATCTATGAGTGGTTGAGTTTTATATTGGGCTGATTGCGCACGGACCATCGGGTGGTAGCGAAACGTAACGAGGGCATTTGGCAAGCTTCGGCCAATTGCGTTCTCACAAGGCTCGGCACTGAGCGCGCCGCTCAGCAAAATATATAGAACCGTGATGAAGCATCATATATATAGTTCAAACTCATCAGCGGGAAGCAAGTACGCACGTATCTTTGTCCTAGTGGTGTTGCTAACTTATTCTGGAGTACTCAGAGCTGGTACTATCACAGCTGATGCAGCCTAATTCGTGGTCAAAAATGTGCAAAGCATGCTAACTCAGGCTATCTCAAAATAACCAAACAGTGGTGAGTGACCGAAGTGATGTATCCAGGAATCAGTACTATTATTCAGGATGAATTTTCTAGTTGTGTGGTGACCATCAGTGTGCTGAACGAATGCGCTTGGCTAGATGTCGGTCGCGTCAAGGATCCCAGGGAAGCAGTCACAGCATTGATTTTCAAGTTCGTGAGTATGCGATATCTTAACGGGTCACATGGCATTTTTCAACTCACTGTAACACCGACTACATAGCTTCTCGCGCTTACCGCCCAGCTGCCCTCTCACATATGAAGGAGGATGAATTTACGCAACTCGGGACAAGGGCCATCTATTCTTCCCCAGACGAACTGCGGTATGAAACTACTTGCTAATGATGCATGACTCCCCGATAGTGAGGGTGAGTCAGTGCTTCGTTACTACATGCACGATTTCAAAACCAAGCCCCGAGGGTCGCAAATAGAGTCGGGAGCCTCAATGAGACATGCATTGCGCGGTATGATACGAGTTATTGGCCAGCCGTTGGATCAGGCGCAGAGGCTCTCAATATGTCGTGTTCTTTCAGAGCGAGCGACGTTACTTACTATTTCCTCCAACTCCTGGACTTCTCTTACCATCGAACGTATTCCTATCCATAACATAGTCATCTGTTCAGGACTCCAGACTATCTCCAGTGGACGCCGGATTGTCGGTGGATCTGAACAATGCAAGCGTCACACATGGTAGATGAGTATGAAGAGTACATTCTTGATCAGCTTCGCTCCAACTTTTTCCCACATTTGAAAGGGATCTTTTTGCAACCTTTTTTGTGGCTTCCTTTGTTCGATTGGCCATGGGCCGCGGTGGATATCTCTGCGCTACCAATGCTTCTCATGCTTCCGTGCCAGGATCAGTGAAAGGCTTGAAACGATGATTGTAAGTCATGCTTGGCGTCCTCCAATGCTGTCGCTCACATGCTACGGCCGTACTGGGAAATCAAATACAATTATACCTAGACACATCGATTGGATGCTTTGTTGCGAATAACAAAGTGCTTTACATGATCGCAGATGATCCAGACTGACGTATAAAGGCACGTCGTTCACCTTGCTCCAACGCGCATTTCTGCAATATCCAAACAGCTCTCCTCGTTCACGATGATCCCATTCGCATCGGCGTGTCTGGTGACCGCATTCGACTGTAACATTGGTTACAATTACACTTTGGAGAACCACTTTGACGTTACTACCATGGATGAAGAGCTAGCATCATTTAAGCCCCCGGACAATGTAAGCTGGATGATCTGTGTTTGAATGATGTCCTTATATTTTGCAGCTTTACGATGCCGTGGCTCGTGCCTGGGATTCACGTAATTGCCCACATACTCAGGATTTTTGTCAGAAACGACCTCGTTACCTCGCTGGTGTCATGGAAAGTTCACCTTCTGATATGGGAATAACATGGGACAGACCTTGGCTATCGCCTTCGTCGTTCGTCTTACGAAGAGAGACGTGGTGCTGTGTCTGTAAGACCAAGTGAAGTTAACTCCCTGCGCTCCTACCCCCTGTCTCTGGACTGTGAGGATTTTCCAGCGCCACAATCACCGTCTATATCCTTGTATAGCCATGTCGGTAATAGCACAGCTTCCGACGGACCAATTGTTACCCAGTGCGACGATCATCCATCTGATGCCGACGACGAGATGGATGACTGTGGTTACTCAACAGATGGTACAATGTCATGGCAGCCGCATGGCGTCACACAGGATTCACCAACGCATTCGGCTTCGGCTTCTCTTAGTTCCGTGTCATGGTCCGACGGTTCAGAGGATGGCTATGCCTCTTCTATCCCCGACGTAGAAAGCGATGACGGTTATGATAATATCAACAGTCCCCCTCCATGTACTCCAACTTCTTCGAATGTCAGGGTTTTGGGCACCCGGACTGTGATTACAAAAAAAAGACGGAATGCATCAGCTCCGCCCGGGGGTAGCACCAAAAGGCGAAAATACCTCAGAGACGAGCAGAAAGCTACAACTCGCAAGCCATATTTCTCGTCCGGTACTTTCACGCCCACTTATGGAACCGATGATTCTGAATATGAGCCATTGGCATCTGTCAAAGGAAGGAGTCCCGATGGACCCAAACAGACATTATTTCCCTGCTTACTTGACGGCTGCAGGCAGGTCTGTTACAGTGCTACCGACCTTGCACGTCACCGGCAGTGTCTTAGACATCGTGCTCCTGAATATTCATGCTTGGGTTGCCGACACCCGTTCACTCGCCCTGATGCTTTGAAGAGGCATCTGAATGGAAAGCCTGCCTGCAAACAGGCGCATCGAGCGGCTCTGGTTGCTAGCAAGGCATAGGGGATTTTTGATTGTTTTATCGGCTACTAATTACATTGGAAGTCCTTCCTCGATCTCTGGTGTTACAAGCATCGAACACGTCTGCCGGTGAATCTACTTCGTCTATGATTCGATGCTTGTTGTAACTAATATTAAATACAAACTACATAATCTTTGATCACATGTATGCACAACGTAACGACAAAACGAAACACAAACTAATATTTGTGATGTGTGGAGGTCTTGTATGAAGCCGTTAGAAGGAAACAATCGATGATAGGAGAGAGATCTACCTTAAGTGCTTCAAACAACTCTGATGAAAGAGAAGACATGTTCGTGTAGAGATGCAAGTAACTCTTGAAAGCTTGGAAGTTCCATTCCGAAATGGCTTTTCGTAACATCGGTTTCTACACATGAAAACGAAAGGGGAGAACAAGGATCCCTCTGGGCAATAGATGGAATGCCAACGAATTCCGCAAGCTTCGATAGAGCGACCTCTGACCGTTCTCGTATGGACAACTTTGGAGGAAGGATGTCGGATCGTGTACGAGGCGCAAGTCAAGCTAGATCACCAATGCAATATATAAGCTAGTTCTTCATCCTACAGGTGCAACAATCAACAAGGTACATATTCGCTGAGTCAGAGGTACGAACAGGGCACCGGAGGCCCTTAGAATAGATCGTAATTCCCTACATAGAGCCTGTTCTGAAAGGACACAAATTGGAAAAAAAATAAGGTACATACACAGACTTTTAACTGCCGCAACGCGCTGCATTCATATGATAAGAGGATTTTCCCACTTTGAATTCGGAAGGGTATGACCCTGCGCTGGCGCTTCCTCCAACCTCACCTCCTCCGAAATATCCTTGCGACTATTCGTCAGAGGGGCATCGATGGCTTTAAGCTTCTCCACGGGGACAGCACGGCGCTTCCCAATAAAGATCCTGCCCCCAGGCGCATCTTCCAACGAGCGAACAATGATATCCTTCTCGAACAGATATTTGATGTCTTCCAGTGGATACCCAGTCGTCTCGGGTATGAAGACATATACCCATGCTGCCATTATAAATGAAGCAACGCCGAACACGAGATAAGTCCCATAGGTTATGCGGTCCAGCATGATGGGCGTGATTTGGGCGATGACGTAGGTGAATAGCCAGGTAACCGCAGTTGCGAGGGACATGGCGGCCGTACGGAGATGGCCTGGGGCAACTTCAGAGCCAAGGACAAGGGGAGTAAAACCCCAGCCTATGCAGAAGAAGACGCCAAAGAGATATATGGCGACGATGGAAACGTACGTCCCTGGCACAATGCCCTGGTTGGGGTGAGCGCCAGAGTACCCGCCAATCCATAGCATCATTGTGCCCTGCGCCAAACCACCATAAATCAGGGACCTCTTCCTACCCCAACTTTCGATGATGAAGGCAAGAGTTATCAATGTCATGATGAATTTGACGACACCATATATGCCAGTAGCAAATAGCGTTGAAGAAATAGATGAGAAACCGAGTCCGGCAAATATTTCAGGGGCATAGTAATTAATTGCGTTCGTGCCAGACCACTGCTGGAAGAATGTGGCGAGAGATGGGATGATGCAGCGCAGAAATATGATTTTCGACTCTCCCATCTTGCGGAATTGTGTGAGCAGCGGCAGTCTGTGCTTCCCGATGAAATCAGCGCGAATCTCGCTGAGAGTCAGCACGACGGCATCATCATCCTGATCCTTCCTCGCAATATATGCGAGGGCTGCGGCCGCTTCCTCGTAGCGGCCGTGTTCCACAAGCCAACGGGGAGACTCGGGTTGGAAAAGCATAAAAAACAGCAAGAGTGCCCCAGGTATAATCTGGGCGATAAAGGGCAACCGCCACTGCATCTGTCCTGGTGAGATATTGAGAGAAACGCTGTAGTTGACCCAAACTATACACTATCGATCAGGTAAATTGTCACAGGTCTGGAAGTGACACCCACAAGCCAGCATATTTCCAAGTCCCACGGCAACCTCGATGCAGCCGGTGCATCGACCACGTATGGCTCTCGGGGCACATTCGGATACGTACGTTGGCACCAAAGCTGACATCAAACCCACTCCCATGCCCCCGAAGAAACGTGAGAAATACAAAACTTTCAATGCGACAGCCGGGGACGATCCAATTCCAGCTGTTGACTGGATGATGCTTCCAATGAGGTAGATGACTGCCGAAGCTAATAGAACAGGCTTTCTCCCAAATCTACTTCCAAAGTAACTCGAAAATAACGCCCCGAAGCTAAATATATGAGTCTAATTGTGGTAAGCGGGAAACTGAACTGCACTCACAATCCACCCCCTTGCAGGACCGAAACTATATTCGCGCTCGTGCTAGCACGTGCAGAGGCTGATTCCGATAGCAAACCAAAATATTCTTGGAACGATGGCAATGCGATCACACCGCCTATTAGACCAATCTCCCAACCAAAGCAGACGTATCCCGTGGTCGCTGAGAATGCAAGAAAGTAGGCATTGCGGTACTGAATGATATCCTGGAGTTCCCTTTTCACAGTTGCAGCCATATAGAGCAGAGAGCGTAATGTCGTGAACAGGAAGGTGAATGGTTGTCTTAAGGGGATGCGAGCTTAGCGAACCCCATTTGGACACTAGCTGTGCGCGGTATTACTACCTGAGTTGCGGACTGTCCGGACACGCAAAGTCGACAACTATGGTTAGCTTCGCCACAACTTTTCGAAAGACCTTGTGGTAACCATGCCTTACGCATAATTAGACTATTTGAAGCCGAATAAAACTTCATTTGAGCTCCCAATAACAGTCCTTGTGGTCACTCAAACCCCGAAATTTGGCCGGTCATTAAAATAGCACCTACAGCACAATCGACACCTTTGAGATGATGATTCTGGCATTCACAATGAGAAATATATCAAATTCGACCCTGAAAATTTAATAACTCTCACCGCGCTCGAAAAGACCCAGGCGAAGCACTCCGTTGTCAGACCATGACAATTCCGAAAATGAAGTCAATGCCTTGAAGTCCAGATTCCGTGCACTAAGTCCTGAAGAACTTCTTGCACCGGACATTGATGCAAATTTCTAATGGTGGATTATCGTCAGAAAGAGCAAATATCCGACGATAAGCTGTTGAAGAATAGCCCCTATTTTGCGACAGTTTAAAACCCAATTTTTCTGAGCTCGACAGCATCAGAGACAGAATCAAATGTAGATGACTCAGATAGGCAACTGCACGGGTACTGCCAGGTACGGGTTGGAGTTCTGAGATCCGTACCACTGCTTCTCATATGGTAATTTGTTTGGCGCTGAGTCTGCTGATACTTACACATCGGAGGTTTGGACATTGCAAAATTTCACTCAAAAGCAGACATAGACCTGGCCTGGAACGCTCTAGAGCGCTCTAGATTGCATTTCGAATGTAATTTCATTAGTGGCAAAATGTGGTAAAATGTTAAAACCCCCGCTGTGTTACGCTTCGGCACCTAGCCACTCCCAAATGTACCCTCTGGCTTCTCTGGCATCCGCACGTTGAGCATAGTCGCAATGCTGCGCTCAAAAGGTATGTTTTGAAAAATCTATGTATGTGCGTACATTATTTACAAGACTAATCACTTCCTAGTTGATGTTTGTTCTCGACGCGGCACTAGTTTCAGAATTGATTTCGTGGTGGCCGCCTTCGTCGACGCAGATGGCTGCGTCTTCGTGAGTGAAACCATGAAGTAGTACGGGCATGGTAAAGCCAAATGTCATTGGATCTCCTTGTTGCTCCCAAGTTTCGGTGTTCCATAGCTTCGTCGTTCCGTCATATGAACCTGTGGCCGGCACTGTTCCATCGGGAGAAAAATACAGCGAGTAGATCTTACCGGATTGGGCTTTGATGAGTTGGGTTAGTGATTCTCCAGTTTCTCTGTGCCAGACGATGACCTGTCCATCTCTATAACCGCTTACTACTATGAATTTACTATGAATTGCCCATCTCGTGAGACAGCCAATCTCCACACCTCATTGCGATGCTCCCTAATCTTCTTCAACACAACACCTGCCTCCAAGTCCCACAGACGAAGCGTCTTGTCGTCCGAGGCTGTAACCGTCCGCCGTTTATCGGGGAAAACTGCGACTGCCAATATGCGGTCTTCATGACCTCACGTCTGACTCCTGTCTTCAAAGCTTCTAGAATGTATCCCAATGCTCGAATCTGACTATCCTAGAGGTTGATGGTGTTGAGCACGGTTGAGGGATTGTGAGTATTTTTTTCTAAGCTGCAGAGGTGCGTGTATCGTGCGTTTTTATGCTGCTTTACGACGCTGACCTAGTACCTTGTTCCATAGACACCCAAGATACGAGGCCGTTCGTTATCACCATTCCATTCTCCCTACTGTCATACCTGCCTTCCTCGACTGCATCGTGTACATGCGTCCGACTCATGTCTCCACAACTTCCAGAACGTATCCCCTCCCATTCAGTGGTGATAATGCATTTGCTAGTTCCCGGCCCTCGAAAATTATCTATCCTACATAGATTGCCGCGTAAATATCATTTTTTCTCGTATCGAGCAGTTTCTCCAACACTTCATCATGTAACTTGTCCGAGTACACTTATCTCACTGCAAATATCATCTCCTCATCTCGTCGATTTCCAAGATCTTCCCGTGCACCCACAACCTTGCTTACAGCACTTTAGGCTTTCGAATTTGACTGAAAGCTCCCCACCTCCTCTACCGCTTCCACCACTTCTATGACCTCCAACCCAATTATTATTCCTACCTATTTTGTATACAGTACCCGGGGGGTTGCCCGTGCAGTTGCCTTGTGCTCGCAGACAACTATCTTATCCTACCTATGCTTCATTTTTTGTCTCTTCTTTTCATTTACTAATTTTCTGTTTGATGTGTTTCTTTCTTTGCGTCTTTTTTGTTTGTCGTTCGCAGGTTGCTTCTTTTTTTTTTTTGATTCCAATTTATATCCTTTGCAGAGTTGTACTCTTTATAAGACACTACTTTCTAGTCTAAGGGACCCCCAATGT